ATTGGGTGTGTTTCACACTCTCTACACACATGAACTGATCCCATACCACCACCAGCTCGGTTAATGCATTTGCTGCCTCAGCTGCACAGGCTATGTATTATCAAGATGCATGGACGTGTGTGCATTTCATGCACTACGCATGCAGGATTTCATCTCATGCAATTCATCGCAGAACAGGTTCAGCAAATGTATTGATTGGATTTCATGCACCGAGGATGCATGAACTGCTCCCAGGCAGCTTGGGGCAGCATTGGTTCAGTCAATGCATTCACTGCATTGCCTGCACCGGCCATGCATTAGCAAGACGCATGGGGCTGTGCACATTTTATGCACTGTGCATGCATGATTTGATCCCATGCATCTCATGGTTGCATAGACTATTCTGATGCATTCATTGCATTTTCTGCAGGGTGCATATATTTGAAATAGACATAGTGCACCCTGCATGCATTATCTGAGCATATGCACCTAATACTATAGCAGGCAGCCGCATAAATGCATTTCTTGCCCAGCTGGTGCATTCAGGAGATTCCCAGGAGTTGGCAGCATTTCAGCCCCAATCTAGTCCCGTGCACTTTGTGAATGCACATGAATGCATTCACTGCATGTCCTCCCCTCTAAGCAAGACCCAAGGGATGAGGTGCATTTTCTGCATGCAGGAGCTGATCCCACGCAGTTCGGGGAGCCCAGGCTGGTGGCAGGGGTGCATTCTTGCACCGGGCAAGGGTGGGGGGTCGGGAGCCCCAGTGAAAGCCTGGCTTATATTCATGTTTTCGTTAAGGGGGTGGGAATGAGAAGAAGTTGGGGGGGCAGAGAAGGGGTGGGGTGGGAAGGGCAGGTGCCCCGCTCTCCCAGGTACATACTATGGGGATGGTGTTGACGTTAATGTAGATTAGGCTGGCCTCGTCAGCTGTGTGCTCGTCCTGGCTCCCGTTAGCCATTTCCCCGGCCTCAGCGCTGGGGGGCACCAGATCCTGGCCCCACAGCCTGCAGGGAAACAGATCAGGATAGATGAATGAGACTGGCGGGATAGAATAGCCCCATGGAGAGGGAGAAAGTGGGAACACGAGTGGGGGAGGCTCCAGCACAGGGGACTGTGATAGGCCAGGGAGAGGGGCTGGGGTGGGATCTCACTGTGGGGGGGGAAGGGCTGGAATACCCCAGAGGACATGGCAGGGGATCTCAGTGGGATCTTGGAGGGGCAACTGGGGGGGTGTTAGACTCACTTGATCACACAGAGCCTGAGAAGAAAGAAGACAATGGCGACCCCCAGCCCACAGGCCACCCCGACGCCCAGCAGCTTGCCAGGCTCCTCCGCACCTGCAAAAACACACAGCACGGGGCACGGCTCGGAGAGAACCCAGGAGTCCTGGCTCTCAGACCCCCCCAACCCCTCCAGACCCCACTCCACTCCCCGACCTGGGGACAGAACCCAGGAATCTGAATGTCTCACCTCTCTGCGGGGGGCTGAGTTCAAAGTGCAGGGCGGCGTAGGTCCCGTGGGGGTTGGAGCCGAGACAGAAGATCCGGGGGCCCCTGTCCCCGCTCCCCGTCCAGCTCAGGGTGCTGACGGCCTCGTCCCCCTGGGCCCACGAGCTGACCTGCAGGGCTCCCCATGAGCCGTTCCCAGCCAGGGGCTCCCCGTCCACCTGCCACTGGAGCCGGGGTGGGGGGTGGGAGCGCAGGGAGCAGCTGCAGTTGATGCTGGGCCCCTGGTGCTGGCAGGAAGAGTTCAGCCTGGTCCCCGGCCGGGGGCTGTCTGCAGAGAGCAAGAGATACAGTGACAATAGTCAGAGAGAGAAACCAAGTGGCAGGGAGTACCGCAGGTTAACCCCACTAACACCCAGTGGTAGGGAGTTGAGTGGATTAACCCCACTAATATCCAGGGGCAGGTAGTCCCACAGGTTAACTCCACTCACACTCAACGAGAAGCTGGAATGTTCCCTGGGCAGAGCTTTCCTTGTTCTGGGCCCAGCACCCGTACAGCCCCCCGTCCTCGGCCGTCACATTGGGCAGCTCCAGCCACAGCTGATTCTCCCCCGCGGGGTGGGCACCCTCAATCGCTCGGCCCCCGTTCACCCAGCCCAGCGCAGTGGGGGGGCTGCTGGCGACAGAGCAGAGGAACCGCAGGGAGTCGCCCTCCCGGGCCGTGAGCTGTGAGCCATTGGCCACCGAGGTGCCGGGATCTGGGAACAGGAATAACACAGAGCCACTCGCAGCCTGAGCCAGCCAGTCCCTGCCAGGGGGCCGGATCGGGGCCAGCGTCCACTAGAGGGGAAAGGCCCCGTGCCCCACTCCCCACCCCCTAGAGATACCTTGGAATAGCTGGGGGTCGCTCCTGTTAGCTCTGGAGACGGTGATTTGCAGAGTCCTCTCTAGAGCTGAAATACCCATGGCTACGTATTAGATTGGAGAGCGCCCCCCACTGACCCCCTGCTCCACAGCCAAGCACTCCCCACTGAGCCCCTGATCTGCAGCCCAGCACCCCCCAGTACTCCCCACACACACCCTGCAGCCTAGCAGTCTCCATGGATCCTGCCCGCCCCCTGCACCCCAGTGCCCCCTGCTGAGCCCCAACCCAGCCCCCTGCACCCCAGCACTGAACCCCTGTCCTGATCCTGGCGGCACGGAGCCCCCTAGCGCCTTACTCTGCACGTGCACACGCAGGGCCCGGCTGGCCGACCCATAGGAATTCTTCGCCCAGCACCGATACTCCCCAGCGTCCCCTCTGCTGAGATTCGGCAGCTCCAAGTGCCAGTCCCCTCCCTGGCCAGGGATCAGGGACCTGTTCGTCCTGGCCCAGCTCAGGGTGGCCTCAGGTCTGCTCCCAGCCTCACAGCTCAGGTTCAGGGAGTCGCCCTCCTGGGTCTCCAGAGACACAATGTCGCCCTCAGCTCCCAATCGGGCCAGTCCTTGAAGAGACAAGCAGGTAGGTTAGGCCCCCCTGCCAGAGATCCCCTCCAAAGGAGTCAAGATGCAGTCACCTCCAGAGTGGATACCTTTCCATGGCAGCAGGTCTTCATCGCAGAGATCGGTCCCTAACCCATCTGCTCCACACTGACCAGCGCCCCCTTAATGCCACCCCGGGGTCTGTAGACAGAGGGAACCGGGCCCGCTCCTCCCACCACCCTCCCCACAGCCGTGCAGTTTCCTTGGGCTCTCCTCTCCAGGCACAGACCAGCCTGGCCCGGCTGAGCCTGGGGCCTGGCCCTGAGCGTGGGCAGAGCATAACTAGGAGGCGCTCGCTGATTCCCGGGGCTCACAGCACGGCTTCTCACCGGGGCGTCCGTTCCTGGTCAGGTTCCCGGTGATGTTGGGGGGCCCGGGCGGGTCTGTAACACAAACCAGACAGGGGGGATCAGGGGGACTGGACAGCACCGGGGTGGGGGTCACTAGTGATCACTGAGCCTAGACATGGCCCCTCGCTGTGAGCTCAGCTGGGGGATGGGAAAGTGCCTGGAGTGACACAAGACCCGTGGGTGGGGAAGGGAAGTGACAGACCCGACTGAGCCCGACCCAAGAGACGCCCGACGGAACCCAGGGGCCAGTTAGGGCTGTGCCGGGGAACCAGAACCGTGGGAAATCGAAACCCAAGGGACCAAAAGCAGTGGGTCAAAATTCAGCCTAATTGGTGGAGGCACTAACGAGGGGCCGGGCTGCTCAGGCCTGGATACTGGAGCGAATGTCGGTGCCCCCATCTGCTGGGCGCCCGGGCGTTCAGCGTCCTGCTCCCAAACATGTCCTCCCAAGAGTGGGCCAGAGCCAGGGGTCTAAATAACCTCTTCCCCGGCTCCGGCTGAGCCCCAGCCACCACCAGGGACATCAGACACCCCCCTCGTGGGTCCCTTGCCTTCCCCTCTCAGTTCATCTCTCTCCAGCACTCTCGTTTTGCCCCCGGGCTTGGCCAGCCAGGCTGGATATTTTGTACCCCAGATGCCTGGCTGCGCCCAAAGGAGCGGCTAAAAGCAACACCCAGAACTTAGAGCCTGGGTCCGTTGGGTCGGGCTTACGGGGCTCGGGCTGCGGGTCTCTGATTGCAGCGCGGATGTTTCCTCCATGGTCTGTGTAGACGTTGGGTTGGGGGGCTGGGCTCAGACACAGGGGGTAGAGGGGGGAGTTTCCCTCCGTCTGAAGGGAACAAGGGCCGTCCTTACACTGACGCCTGATTTGATCCTTCACATCGCAAAGGCGGCCGCTGATTTCCCCTCTGGCCTGGATCTGCAGCGTGAGGGTCACAGGCCATTTAACGGGGGTTTGCCCTGGGGCAGGGCGGGCCGAGGTCTCTGGGCACCGAGCCCGGAGCGTGTCTAGTGCCAGACAGCGACTGGGTCCCGTTAACACTCTGCCCCATACAGAGCATCCACTGATCCCAGCAGAAAGGAGAGGGGGGAGGAGACGCGGTGGAACAGCCCGGGGGGATCTCAGGGGGAACCGGGGTGTGAGGGGGGGAAATCCCAG